CTAATACCATCTAGACATTTAGCATTGTATAAAATAAAATAACACGTTTTTAAACCATTAAGTTTTTATTAATTACATTCAACGACTTACAAAAGTACACGATAATCAGAATAATTAAAACTTGTTTCCTTCTGTGATAAAAGTTTAAACTTTAGAAAATGCGGTATTTATCAAACATTTCTACTACATATATTAAATAGAGTTACAGATAATTGACAGACGATATAAAACAGGCAGAGGTGTTGCACCTGAAAGATAGGATTAAACTTCAGTATAAGATCAAAAAGTAAGGTAAACTACTTTTACAACCTGAGAGTATATTTAATGAAAGAACTATTTATGACCTTAGCCACTATTAAGAAAGCCTGTTTTCCAATTAGCATAGCTAGTACAAGAACACCTTGAGATCAATAATATTCAGCACAAGCATTGCAATAGCATTTATAGTTAGCAATGTATCTTCATAACAAAGGTTAAACACCATTAAAATTCTCTTTCAGTCATGATGAAGTGGGTATTTTTTCCAAACAGTTAAACTTGAACTATTTCTCTGTTTTATTTAGTTTATCTTTTTTTTTGTTTGTTTGTTGTTAAGCACAAAGCTACACAATGGGCTATCTATGCTGTGCTCATACCAGGAAGGAAAACCAGATTTTCAGTGTTTTAAGCCTTCCGAATTACCGTTGAGCCACCAGGGGGCTAGTTTATCTGTGCCAGAAGAAGAAATATTAGAAATGGAATTAGAATAAACAGTAGAGGACAGATGAGCAAAATCAGATAACTTCAGAAGCAGAGGACAAAGTAATAAGGCTGGTCTAATAGAATAAACAGCAGAGGACAGGTGAGTAAAGTAACTTAACTATAGAGAACCAGATGAGGAAGTAATAAGGTTGGTTTAATAGTTAGAATAGCATGATAATAAGGCCGTATTAATACAAAGACCGAACAGCAAAGGGCTAGATAATAAGGTATGCACAAGGTGATAAGGTCGACTTGGTGGTTAAATAGAGAAACAAATAAATAGTTGATGTTTTTGTTTGTGCTTTTCAGCGCAAAGCTACACATTGGTTATCTTACTCTCTGTCCACCGCAGAAACCGAACTTCGGATTTTAGCGTAATAAATCTGTAAGATTACCGCTGTTCTACCGGGGTACAAGTAGATGAGAATAATGCCAAGTAATAAAGTCATTTTATTTTGAAACAAATCAGTTGAAAGCCATAATTTATTGGTATAGCTTAAGACAACATAGTAAAAGCAATTTAATGATTACCTGGAGAGTTTTAAGACAATACATTAAATCTGTTTAAGTGATTGTTGGAAAAGTCATAGACTAGATAACAAATTTAGCTAAATATCAAGCTAAAAAAAAGCTAAGAATGAAGTAAATAGTTCATCTATTATTAGATATAAAAACAGAGAGTAACATGAAATTAATAATTAGTTGGCCCAAGCGCGATTAATATAATATAATTATTTGAACAGTTAGCGTGATTAAGATAACGCTATTTTAACAGCTGCAGCAGCATGAATGAGGTCAATATTCAGTCTGATAGTTTAAAAGCTCATAAAGGCTTGTTCAACAAGGAAAAGTTAAAAAGGTGGATTTAATAACTATAACGAACAGAAAAAGACAGCCAATAAGTTAATTTTGTAGCTGGAGAAATGTCTGAAAAACAGAATAAAAACAATAAAAGCAGTTTAATAGTGAGCTGGAGCAAAACAGTAACGTTAGTTGAACAGTTAGTTTAAAGAGATAAATGGGGAAAATCCAAGTAAAGAAGTAAATACAGTGAAAAATAAGACACATTTATTGGTTAGCTAGAACAGCTGGTTACACGGTAAACTCAGTAATTAATTGGAGATAAATTGGACAAAGTTAACAATTTTAAAATAATTTTTATCATGAAAAATCAATCTGTGTTTGGCGGTAAAACACATAGAGCATACGTAAACCAAAAACTGAGTAATAACGTATCTACCATTTTATTAGGTTGAATAAGAAACAACTACTTATGAATATTTGAAATAAGCCGTTTTCTTTCACTCACTTTCTATTCATGTCATCAAATGACGTTATGAACAAATTAAACTATAGAAAAAAACAACAACAAACAAACAATTTTTTCTAGGATTTACAAGAAATGAATATATTTAGTGGCACAATATCGCATTATGTCTTACATATGCATGAAGAATACTTGAAGTTATTTCACATAATATTAATAGCGATAATTATACTTTATAGTTAAGTCTTTGATATGTTCAGATCAATGAACCTTATTTAAAAAAATGCAGCTTATATACACACCGTGCATCTTTCTTCCGTGATGCGGTTACTTTGTACAGCAATGCCATGTACCTCAATATTGTTAAGTAAAACAGTGTCATATGTACTTCTTTTAATTAAGTACAAGAATATCATTTGTACATCGCCATGTTTAGTACAACAATGACACTTAATTTTTGCACTTAATATTTTTGGTACAACGGTAATTGGCCTACCTACTGATTAGAACAACAATACAGTGTTTTGGTGCAATTGTCAGTTGAATTTGTCTTACTTCCTTCAACTGTATAAGTTGATACTAAGTATAACGATGTTACTTCTTAAAACTACAGCGCCTATTAGGCCAGAGACGCACGATATGTTTTCTGTGTAACTGACGACAAAAATTTACTACGTAATTGCCAACTCGACTTGTTAACAAATTTCAGATTGTTAATCACGTTACTAAGACAGACCACTGTCCTTTTTCAGTAATTCAGTTGTCAATTTTTTTTTGTCGACTAGAATTAATTGACAATAAAAATTGCTAGTGTATCTTTAACCTTACACTTTTTTATTTGTTTAGTACAGCAGTTTTTTCTGTACTTTCCACTGTTTGGTGGGAAATAATGCTAGATTTTTGCCGTTTACTATAACACTGAAACATCTGTGTCGATTATTCTATTTTGAATAACAATTCCCGTCACACTCTATTGAATCTACAGTATTTGAATATTATACAAATGTATTATTGGTAAAATAAACGTATAAAGTCATTTATTTGCTAAAGTAGAGAAAACATATACCTCTTCTACGTATATACGTATGTACATGCGCCAGGAAAATCAAATATAAATAAAAATTAACTCACCATCTTTCCAAAGTGTTACAATTATATTCACATTAAATACTTTTAGAACAAAACATATTTATAGGATTATCTTTGTAATGTTTATACTTCGAATATCCCATAAGCTTTGCAAGTGTTGAACAATACGTTCAATGAAAGAAAATATAATTTCTAGGATTCAGTTTAGTAAATCATTAATGTGTATGGCAGTTTAGTTTCCAAGAATAATTCTCATGTCAAAACTATTTTCCATATAATTATGAGGACTTGAGAGCAGAAATCACGAATGTATTCCACGTGTTTACAATAGACTATTGTTTCGCTTGAGAATACTAATTTACTTTAAAGGTGTAAATAACAGTGTTTGAAATATCTCATATATAATGATTCATTGCAAGAAAGACTCACTGAAAAATCAGGAATTTAAAAACGAGGATAAACTTAGAACTCGGTGTACAATCTGGGATATAAAAATGAAGTGAACGATCTGAGGTTTAGTGTTGAGGATAAGTACGTACTTATCTCCTTTTTTTAACTGTTATTAATTACTAATGAACTACTAAGAACACGCTATAGACTTGTCGTTTCTACTGTAAAGAAGTACGAAGAAATACCAAGCAGCGTATATTCAAAAACATAAACTAAGGTTTAGTTTTAGATTGATCAAAAAATATACGTAATTCTTGGAGTCTGGCACGGCCTGGTGGTGGTTAAGGGTGCTCGACTCGCAATCTGAGAGTCGCGAGTTCGAATCCCCGCCACCAAACATACTCGTCCTATATGGTTGCCGATTGGGACAGCCACTCAAGTGTAAAAATTATTGGCTTACAAAATTACCGGTCGACCCCAAACTAGTTGGGATTAAGGTCGTAAAGGACAAAAAATACAACAACAACAACAACAACAAAAAACAAACAAAACACGTGATTCTTGGACTACGGTTAAATATTTCTGAGTAACGGAAACCTTTACACATCCAGTGTAAAATAAAACCACAGGATAGAAAATGAAAGATTTGCTTCCCGGCAACATAAAGTGGTCGCCTGCTAACGTTTCTGTTAAGTAGTTAGCACTTTGGCTAACAATTAGACATTACGTAATGAGCATATGCAAGGAAAAGTATTATCTCCGCTTGAAAATAAATGATCACTGTCTAGACAGGGCCCCCATACCTTTATCGCCAAGCTGAAAGAGGCGAGGAACTCAAGGAGAAAGGGACGCTACATTTAGAATTTAATTACAGAACATAATAAGAAGACACAACGTCTTAGCTTTAGCCACTAAACGTAGTAAAACACGTTAAATTATTAAATGTAGTTTGACGTTATTCTGTGAGAGAAGGCTGGGCATATGTTACCATAATATCATGACAGAAGAAAAATTCCAATGTAAATGGTTTAAAATAAATTTCATTAACATTAACGAACGTATCGGACTTATATGAAACAGCAGTATTTTTAAAGATATTAATATTCTAATGTTCTGCACAATTCAGGCCTCTTGACCAGGCTTAATTGTCTGGAAATAGGAAACGTGCGTAAAACTATTAAGTTGCTCTTTTTCTGTATTTTATTAATACAATTTTACCACCAAATGATATATCACTTTATCAGTTACGCTGACGTACTGAGTAAGTTGTTCTAAACTGTAATACAATATATACACAAGAAAAATAACAGACAAAACACACCTACTGTAATATAATATATACGCAAGAAAAATAACAGACAAAATACACCTACTGTAATACAATATATACACAAGAAAAATAACAGACAAAATACACCTACTGTAATACAATATATACACAAGAAAAATAACAGACAAAATACACCAATTGTAATACAATATATACACAAGAAAAATAACAGTGAATACCATTAAAGAGTGTTCGTTTTAAATAAACACTGTGAATATTTCTGATGACTGGAATGTAAGTTATTTTAGTTGCATAAATAACAATGCTGCTAAAACTGTACCATGATCTTAGCGCCATCAAGCGGCCAACTCAAACAATCTAAGTGATAACTAACATAGTACTGACACCAATGACTAGATGTCAAGTTCACCACTGTGGAGACTGTGTCAACAACCAGAAGAGTTAAGTAAAAGTCGAGGTGGTATGTAGTGTAACATTATGAGAACCTTGGATAAATAAAACTAACAAAGGTATCACATATTCCACAGAAAAACCAAAATAAAACTTATTTCTGCTATTAGAAAGTGTGGTTATCTTAACGCACGTACACACCACATATATAAACAGAGGATATTTAATTAATTACCATTGAACAAAAATTGCAATGTCACACTACCTGCAACTATTTTCGAGACGTAGAACGCCCCCTGTAGTGACTGATCACTATCTCGTTTCCTTGATATATATTATAATATCTGAACAGTTTGTGCATCTGATGTACATAAGCATATAAAAAATCGTTACACACAACATTTCAATTGGCACATTGATAATAACTTTAATTAATTTTCTCGTTGATATATTTTCCAATAGATTATCCTTGATGATTATGAATGTGTCCAAAAACCATCATCTTGACAAAGAATCATGGTGTACATTTCCTTTAAGAGATCTGCAAATAATAAGTTCTATTTTATTCGTGCACAACCAATAATTATCATAATAAAGTTATTAATTTCACACTTTCTCGAACGAACAGATACCACGGACCAAGGTAAACGATCTTTAAGAGCGAAATGTCTGTTATAAATACGTAGAATTTCACTTCAATCAGTTTTTATATCAGAGTAAGGCTTATTTTAAACAATCATTGACAATCCTTTCGAACACGTTCTAATAAAAAATATCTAATATTTTCTTAATTATACGAATCAATATTGTATCCTCTTCTAATTTAAATGATAATGTATTACTGCATCACGAGTATTTTTATTTTCTTTTATAGTGAGTCTTTAAGTTTGAAAGAGAACTAACTGTATGTGTTATAAGGTCGGACACCTATGAACGTAAGATGTAATAGTTTTCTTGGTGAGCGCATAAGAAGAAGGAATGCTTAAAGAAAACTCATAAACAACCACTCATTACTAACCTTTGTAATTAAAAATAATTAGATCAAACTTCATCTGTAAGGTGACCTCCCAGGATTTTTGGCAGCAACTCGTTTGGGAGGAGCTAATAAGAGAGAGAGAGAAAAAAAACGAAATCAAAATCACACACACATATATATATATATATATATATATATATATTATTTAAAAATAAATACATTACAAATTTCAATTAAAATATAAGAGCCATATTTCCCCTTCCATGTTTTTTTAATGTATTTCTTGAGCTTTCGGTCACAATTTCTGCAACCATCTGCAGATGTCGATAGTCAATTGTAGAGACGACTGAGAAGGGTAATATAAATGTTTTGTTATGGTGTGATTGCCTTTACAAGCTGGCGAAGCATGATTATAATTATACTTATCATAAGACATTAGTATTAGGCTTATCACACGTTTAAACACTACGTCCTTCCTTTATCAAGTCCTTTAGGGATTGTCAAGAATTAGAAGAGCGTATAATAATAACACTCCAAGCTCGAGAACAGCAACGTTAGTATGGTATTATTGGTGTTACGTGGAGATGGTAGAAGCGAATAAGATATTGATGTGATGAATGTGATCAGATAGCCGCAATACAAGGATTTGTTGTATAAAATATAGAGACAAATTGTAGGTTGAGTTGTAATTTAAGTTAAATGTCAAAACTAAATATGAACAATACTGTATAAGATAACTAAGTTGTAAGGAAGTGTGCCAAAAATTATTATAATATTACTCATGCCACGTGTCTCTACAACTTATTAGCTTCAAGTGGTTTCCTTGATATCACTTTCAACTTCAACACAGTGAGAATCAATCGAGAACATTCGAACTCTTAAAAGAAATGAAATGTAACGTCAATCGCGTGACACTAACTATTTATTATTACAAAAAATGCTATGAGCATAGAAAAACAAACCTTAATGCAAAAATAGCTTTACTAAAGTCGAAAATAACACCCTGTGTTGTTCACTTTTTATTAAGCACAAAACTGTATAATAGGCTATCTGTGCTGTGCTCACCATGAGTATCGAAACCCGAATTTTAGCGTTATGAGCCCTCAAACTTACCGCTGCGCCACCAGGGGGCCGTGTATTGAAAACATAGAGATGGGAAAATGATTTTCATAAAAAAATGGTTATTTGTTTATTTTTCATTATGAGAGAGATACATATTTCATTGAGTTCATCAATATTATGATTTCTATTAGGCCTTTATTTCGGTCACTCCCTATGTGCCTCAGTCTACACTTATTTCTTGATGCAATTCTTTTGATAGTGACTATGTTGCTCACGTTTTTGAATGTATTTCCACGTGATGCGGTGATCAATGAACATGTTCATCAATGTTATAACATTTTGATATTTGTAGCTGCAGCAACTGCCACGCGAGTGACGTGTATTTAATATGATGTAAGAGCTCGAGTAATTTTAATTGACCCACTGTCAGTTATTCATAGACTGAAACACTCGCAGAATGTTATTGCACATGTTACTGAAGGCTCGTAAATTAATTACAAAACTGAGAAAGAGAAAACATCGCTTTTATGTTTTAATATATGAACATACATCAATATGTGGACGACAACATGTTTATATTGCTCCTGGAAAATCAGCTTCATTAAGGTACTGTAAGAGAAGTTTGGTTTTATTACGGTAGACATTCTGTCTCTTAATGATACTTTAATTCAAAGTTGACACAATTAATTACTATGTTATGTCACTAAATAAAAAATAATGTCTTTAAAATTGCCCCCACTGACACAGCGGTATGTCTGCGGACTACTAGAAACCGGGTTTCGATACCTGTTGTGGGCAGAGCACAGATAAGATAGCCCTTTGTAGAGTTTTCTGCTTAATAACAAACAACAACAATTTAACAGTTCTTGTCAGATAATATATTTGAATAATCAGTTGTTACGAATTCTTATTTTTTAAGTAATTGCATGCTATTAACTTGACTTACCAATTTTTATCATCTATTTTATGGCACACTATCTAAAGTACCCGTCAGTTGGACTGGTGATATAAAAACTCGTTTGTAACAAAGGATAGGAAATTGTGCTTCTATTGTTTTTCTTAACATAGTAATCATTGAAGGTGCAATAAAAATACATAAACGTAACAATACTGAAAAGAAAGACATACTGTTTTCAGGAATTCTATCAATATCAAATTAGAACCTTCCTCATGTTATCCTGAATCACGGTGCTGATTGATCAAGAAACTTGGGAACGTATAATGAATAGATACACACACATATTGACGTTTATTCATATAGATTCTGAATCACGTGTTTATGTGCGTATAAAAGTATGAAACAAATGTAGAGATTTTATTTTATTTTGGATTTGAGTGAACCAATTGAACAGTAGATTGTAAACAGTATAGCATGATAATATATAAGACTGATAATAATTTTAGTGACCCATTTTTTTACTGGCCTTGCATGAGTTTCCAGTGAGAAAAGTGTATAATAGTAATGTAGCTTCACACTTTTTGCTTGTTTCACGCTAATGTCAACAGGGTCGATCCTAACGATGATAAAGCTCTATGTTTCATAGCAAAGTTATAATTGCAGTAGTATAAAATACTATATTCCCTGATGAACGAAGATATGTTGACAATCCAAGGGGTTGCACCCCTCATGTGCACGGAGATCTGGCTTCCTGGCTGCTTCCCAAGAAGTAGAATACAGTTCCGTTTCTGATGATACCAGTGGCCTTCTGGCTTTGTGATATACTATTGATTGCTCATCTTTTGCTTTTCCTATACAGTACGTATTTTCTAGCAGCCTCATTCGCTTTAAGGGACTATCTGAAACTAAAAGCCCTCTACATGAAATTTGGGTCTTCCCACGGGAAAGAGTCCCATAAAGTTTTGTTTGATGAAAGAATAGCATAGAGGGGAGAAGCACTGCCTGTTCTGGCCTTGGATTTTAGAGAAAGTACTGTCTTGCTTACCCATAATTATAACTTGACACACCTGAGATCCTAGTCACAAATCAGTTTTTAGAGGCCATCGAGGATGAAAAAACTAAGTCTACAACGTCTACTATTATTCCCGTATAAGGTAAGATACTTAGGACAAAATACAGATAAACATGGGGTTACCACAAATATTGACAATACAGAGTTCTCAGAATGACAAAAAAACTAAAATATTTCTAAGTCTGTACAGTTACTAGTGGCAATTTCTTAAGGAATTTTCAACAATAGCCAGTCCATTGCACAGAATTTTTAGATAAAAGATAATTTTTCTTCAGCACAGATAAAATAAGGACAGAATATATTCGTAATCAGAAGAAAATTTTGATAATTTCATCAGTTCCAGCTCATCCAAATTTCCATTCAAGAATCACCTAGACACAGGTGCAAGTAGCAAAGACCTAAAAAACTATTCTATCGCAAATACAGAAAAATAGAAACACCTGAAGCTTAATTTAACAAGTCATTCGAAAAGTAAAGAAATTACTTTTTGAAGGACTTCTTAAAAACTCCAATAAAAAAATTAAAATTTTCATCTTAAGAATGAACCATATATTTTAAAGATGCATTAGCAAATTCAAGAACTCTGAAAGAGAACTAGCAAGATGGCTAAAACCGCAAATTGATATATAATGCTGCAGCTCAATATCGCAATGCAGTCCTTGAGCAGAAGTTGTAGAGATTGTACTTATTGATCACGATGAAAAACAAAAGAGGAATCTTTTCATGTAAATAGAGTGTGGCTGCATTTATAAAAACCAGTCAAAACTGAGCTGGATTGTAGGACATTATTCAGGATTTGGAGTTCCAATTGGTCAAGAAGAGGAAGAAATAGAATGTCCAGATTGGGCAGAAATTTTGCCACTTACGTAGACTACAAAATAAAGCCTACACAAGCACCAGGCACACACACAACAAATTTACCAGGAAAAGTTGTATCGGGAATTGGAACCACATGTTCTAAATACTACATAATAGCGAAAGCGGTGGTCGTAATAGAATAAAGAAGGTGATGTCCTGTTGGTAAACATGAAGCAAACGTTGTGGAGTGGTGTAGAGTATATTTTAAATTAAAGGAAATAATTTCCTCACAGAATTAAGTCCTCGCTGTAATTTGGATCAGACATGGAAAAACTACCACTTGATGTCTTAGGCCTATTTACATGTACTAAGATAGGAAATAATACACTGTAGCAGCTATGCACTACCTTACAAAATTCTCTATTTTAGGGGAAGTCCATAATTTAGAAGTTCGCACTATAGTAATAATGCTAATTGAAAACTATTGCTGCAGTTCTGAAGTGTCAATTTTCGTATAACTTCATCAAGAAAATAAATTTGAATACAGGCTTTCATGAAAATTTGTGAGATTTTAGATACGAAGCAAATAAGGACGACACCATATCAACTTCAGAGTGACGGTCCAGTTGAATGATTTGAAAGTTTCCACTATTCAGATTTCTGAAGTAGTAAACAGATAAGATGAAAATTGGGATGAATTCCTACAAATGAATTTAATGACCTAAACATTTTCAGAATATGAATCAGCAAAACTCACGCCTGCTAAATTTGTACAAGGAAAAGTGCAAGGCTATCAGTTGATCTTTTAACTCATTGTATAATCACACACATGCACGAAAAGTTAATGGAAAACATAAGAAAAGTGTAAGATTCTTTGTACCAGATGAATCAGGAAGCACCTAATGATTTCAAGTAATGTGAAATTAAAATATGATATCAATTTGCTGAATAAAACTGTTTTAATTCCACAATAAGGATCAGCCAACCACAGAAACTTACCTTGATATGAAGGCTTATTTACCGTAACGAAGATAATAATAGATGCTAATCATAGGATGCAGCGATCCAGTACCACTACCCTGAAGGTTGTGCACGCCGATAAGTTGAGGCTATTTGATGATCTGTTTATTAATATCTTGAGTTAGTTTCTGAGTTTAAGAATCATTATTCGTGCTTTATGTTGTCCTCTTGTGTCTTTGTCTTCTTTTTCCTGTTTTTGTTTTCTCGCGGGAGAGAATGATTTGTTTTGTTTTTAAAATATTGTGTTCCTGTTTTGCATTACTCTTATTTCTTCT